TCATTAGAGGAGAAATAGCTCTGTCAGGAGAAGCCATTTAAAAAAGATGATGGAAACTCTCTTTTTTTTCCAGAATGATAGCTGCAGTAATGACACTTTCTCAATAAGCAACGATAGTTTAATACGGTAATTGTCCGAAAAATGGGGTCATTACGGCTAAGCCCCCAAAGAGCCATTTAATCGGGTGAGTATAGCCACTGAGCCGTATTCGCTAACTCTAAATAGCGGGATGAAATCAGGGTGGAGGCTTATTGTCGGCCCGGCTTGTGATGGAAACGCTCAGTGTCACAGTCAGCAGATGAGGTGGCCTCATCATACAGAGGCTTGATTTAAAAAATGCTAGATAGACAACATGAAATGACCATTCCTTCAGCGTCTCATCCAAGGGTCAAACCGTGGTTCGGGTTCCCGCTCAGTGCCTTTCAAGCACTAATCTGATTTCCTAAATTTATCCTTTCACTGTATTAGCTTAGCGCTTAATGTCTCTCTTTTAACATTTATCCCCTTGTGGAATTTGACATTTATTGCTTAATTGGGATTGCTTTGGACATGGTGATCATCGCTGACACGATTTGACTCGTGCCTCATTTTCCCCTCTGTCTTTAAACACCTCATGATGACCAAAGTCTCATGAGTTTTAGTCTGCAACTGCTGCCAGTTTCTCATGTGCTAACTAAGTATGTGTGCACACAGGAGCTTTACCCGGCCTTCTGCATCCACCACGGCGGCACAGACCTCGAACGCCTGCCCACGGCCAGCACCTGCATGAACCTGCTCAAGCTGCCGGAGTTCTGCGATGAGCACCTGATGAAGAACAAGCTGCTGTACGCCATCGAGTCATCTGCCGGGTTCGAGCTGAGCTGAGGGGGGTGGGGGCGACGGCTTCTGTGACCCTGCATCTATGGACTCTGTGTCGTAGTAATGGGGAGAAAAGGTTTGGGACAGAGAGAAAGAAACAAGAAGAGGGAAAGAAAATGAAGCACTGACCTGCCTGATTAACTGTGTGTTTGTGCGTGTGTGTGTGTGCCAAGTGAAAGGGTGAGAGGATGATCGCCCACAGACTGAAAGGAAAGGGGTGCAAGGATGTAGCGGGGTAGGAAGCCTTTTTTTAAATCCTCGTTGCTTTTAAGAAATTTAAATGTTTAATCGCTCGTAAGAACACTTCAGTGATACAGTCGAGTTTTGCAGGAAATACTATGCGCTGAAATAAAAACAAGAAACGAACGGTAGCAGCTGCTCTCTTGTGTAATCTAACATGAATGGACAGTTATTTTTCACCAAAGATTAAGTGGCATCATATTAAATAAAAAAAGGCAATATAAGAACAGAAGGGCAGACTGGAGGTATCTGAAGCCACCTTGTGATGAGCCAAGGGCTGCGGAGGAGCTTTTGTGTACAGCCATCATTTATTTTCACATGGAGGTCATCAAAGCGTCAGTTTTTGTGATTTCTCATATGATTATTATGACCAGTAGTAACTATCATGTCCGATAACCATGCCATCAGTGGGCACACGCCATCAGAAGTGTGGAAATGACTCGTACTGCTGGACTAACTCGGGGGGGGGGCGGGGGGGGGAAGTGTTATATGACGGATTTGTGAATATGTACATGTTTACAACGATTCTTGTATTATTCAGTTATTCAGTATTTGTACAGGTTTGTTTTTCTTTCCCTTTTGTGTGTGAATGGAGGCTTCATGTTTTCACACATGCTCGCTAAAGGTGAACAATCTCCTCCCTGGTCAGTGCCTGAAAGTTTGCTCTTAGGGAGCCACTACAGCGTCACGTTGATAAGGCTTTCAAATGATCAGTGTACTAACAGGGTGAAAAAAACAAAAACAAGAGTGTATGAAAATGAATAAACCCACTTTTCTTTTTTGCAGTTTCTTCCCTTAAGTCTTTCTCCTTGTTGCTTGTAATTTACAGTAATGAGCGAGACATAAAACAGTGCTTTGTGGGAAAATCTCCTCCTGACTTTTATGGCCTCTGACATATAATTAAAGAAACATCCAGTTAAGAAACACTGAGCAGAAGTATTCTGGCCTTGCATTATCGGGCTGAGCACAAATTAAGATTGTGTGCGTTTGTCATAAATCTACCTGCCCTCTGATGCAGCACGGCCCAGCAAGATATCCATCGCTCTTTGGATGGAGTCCATCTCCCCATCCCCGTCCTCGCTGCTCACACATGGCCAAGTTGCTGCCCCTTCTCCTCCACTCAGAGCCCGAACTCTGCACAGCCGCCGGGCCGGGGAGCTCCGAGTGGTAATTGGGTCTTAAAAACCAGACTTGTCATTGAAATGAGGGATTCATCTCAATTACTATGAGATTTATTTAAGACTATTACCTCGTGATGGATTATAACTGACAAAGTTAATGCAGGTTGTTATGAATCATCCTCGCTGCGTAATATACTTTAGCTTCCTCACAGGCCTTTTAGGGGCTAATTGAAGCTTTTAGCCTTGTTTATCTTGCGGCAGAGCGAGGAAACATCAAAAATCACTCCAGGGTGATTGTGGATTGGGGCCTACTTTGCACAATATTACTCCAGGAGTGCTGTCAACAAGGAAACCGTGCATTAAAGCATCATGAGTGTGAGGTTTATCTGAGACATCAATCATACCTGCACGACAAATACTGAGACACAACTCACATACCTGCAGGTTTTCCTACAAAACTTCCCCTCACACATTTATTCATTATTGTTGATTGCCATCTAGTGGTTGCCTACTAGCACTGCACGGAGAGCAGTCAAAGGCCTGATGTTACTGTTACAGCTGCAGAACAATTCATGGAAAATCAAACACCTTCATCTTCCAGCGCCATTTTCTAATGAATGCAACTCAGTGGACTGCAGCTCATCTTGTTAGTGATCCCCCTGGAAACATTTCAAGGCTGCATAATTATTTCACTCACATTACACATTATTACAAGTATCGCTTTGGCAACCTGGCAGGAGAATTAAGAAGAAATGAAGTGTGACTGCTTGAGCTCCACGAATATGCATCTAAAAACAGTGCAGATTTTTGTGCAGATTTATGTGTGAGTGCTGCTTCTTCCTGCCTGTCCCAACATGAACAGGGATAGGCCGGCCTTATTCCTGGGATTTAAAAACATCCATGTGAGCAGTTTACATTGTTTGGCCTCAACTGCCAAGAGTTATTTTTGTCTTTATGAATCCCTCCTGCTTAATAGCTTAACAGTACAACACAGTCTGCAGCAGAAAAGGATCAATGAAACGCAGGACAGTCTATGTGAACACATTTAGAGACAGTATAATATATATAATGACCTGTGTGTGATATCAATTGCTGCGATTCCTCCAGCCTGATGAGTTTAATTAGATACTGACCGCTCATAATGTTCATTATAATTAATAGCGATCTGTCATTTTCATTGGGTTGCTTCCTCGCTGGCAAGAGCTGCAGGCGGTTTTAACTGCGAGAACGTCCTTCATTTTCCCTTTAAAATCAATGCAAGTCTGTCATTTCAGGATCAATTCAGTTCAAAAACTGCAATAACCTGATCTGTTTCATTCTCCTGCTTCAGGTTATGATGAGTTCACACCATTATTTTTTTTCTTTTTGCTATGAAAAGTGGAAAAACGCGTTTGTTAATTGTTTGACCAGTTTGTCTTTATTATCCAATAATTCAAATGTATTCAGAACTGTTATACACAGAATACTGACTCACTGAAGGAGCGATACAGAACCAAATATTGATCAATTTCAAATGTTTGACTTTTTAATAGAAACTTTAAAGAACAAAAGTTAATTTGGCTCATGCCATTTGCTGACGGTGTTAGGGTCACACACCAAAACATGCCAAGAGTGTTTTCACTTATTGGAAGAGAGATTTTATTCATGTAATTCTGTCTTTTTTTTACTGGTTTTCCATGCTCATAGGTCTCCTGTTCCCACACTGCCCGACAGGTGGCGCAGCAGGCCTTCAGTCTGGTCCTGGCACCTGAACGCAGCACGGCTGTTGCAAAAAAGTGTGGGATGCAGGACAAAGTCAGTCAGTGTGTGTTTGCAGTTCATATCCAGCAGAGACAGACATGTGTCCACTGTGAGCTGTGTCTCTGAGTCCCTCAGTTTCTCTCTGAGTCTCTCTGTGTCTCTCAGTTTCTCTCTGTGTCTCTCTGTGTTCCTCAGTTTCTCTCTGAGTCTCTCTGTGTCTCTCAGTTTCTCTCTGTGTCTCTCTGTGTTCCTCAGTTTCTCTCTGAGTCTCTCTGTGTCTCTCAGTTTCTCTCTGTGTCCCTCAGTTTCTCTCTGAGTCTCTCTGTGTCTCTGAGTCCCTTAGTTTCTCTCTGAGTCTCTCTGAGTCTCTCTGTGTCTCTCTGTGTCTCTCTGTGTCTCTGAGTCCCTCAGTGTCTCTCTGTGTCTCTGAGTCCCTCAGTGTCTCTCTGTGTGTCTCAGTTTCTCTCTGATTCCCTCAGTTTCTCTCTGTGTCTCTGAGTCCCCCAATTTCTCTCTGAATCTCTCTGTGTCCCTCAGTTTCTCTCTGTGTCCCTCAGTTTCTCTCTGTGTCCCTCAGTTTCTCTCTGTGTCCCCCAGTTTCTCTCTGAGTCCCTCAGTTTCTCTCTGTGTCTCTCAGTTTCTCACTTTGTCTCTCAGTTTGTCTCTGTGTCAACAGGTCTGCTGTCCACACTAAGGACCTCTGGTAAAAAATAATACCCAGACTCTGAATCACAGGCGAGTTTATTGCCAAGAAAGTTTCACAAGGAATTCGCTTTGGTGTATTGATTGGTGCATAACAATTAAAATATGAATTAGAAAATAATAATGAATGTATTAAAAAATCACTTCTTATGTCTCTACATACAGTCTATATGGTGGAGACATGTTCACATCTTCAGTAACTCATCCAGGCTGCAGGTCAGGAGGGTCACATGTAAATACTGTGTTCTGGTCTTTTTACGGGACTTTCCCACCTTCCTCCAAATCTGGAACTAACTCACTTCTATCACCATTAGTCAAAACCAATCACACGTGAAAGAGAGTACTCCTGCCAGCTGATGTGGCAGTACTCTGGTGTCCTACAGTCCCTGAAGGCAGCAGCAGCACCACCACCCGCAGTTCACGCTCGGTTTCCGCACTGAGACCAGAGGACTCAGGAGACACAGGAGGGACAGCACGGACAGCAGAGACACCTGAGACACCCGGAGCACACACTTCTTCCACACAGGTGAGCCAAGCTACGACCTGACTCCTCTCTCCTCTAACGCTTGGATCCATTTAGCTTGACTCGCCTCTGCCGTCGCGTCGCTAAGCTCCGGCACGTGTGGATGCTGTGGTGTCGGTGTCTCTGCTCAGCGAGCGTCTGTGGCTTAAATGGGGGTAAAAAAAAAAACCCATCGTTGTGACTGTTTCACCACAGACGCACATTTCGGTAGAGTTCGCGTGATTTAGCCGGCAGCGTTGAGCTAGCTTAAAACGCTCCACACGGCCAACGGAGCTTTTGACTGTAGCGCCAACAGCTAGCATCCGTGCTAGCCTAAAACACTCCACTGAGAGAATGAGAACCGAGCCTCAGGTGGCTGAAATGAATATCACGAATACATGTAGTGGTTCTGCTTTTAGTAATTTCATGGCGATGTATCGTCGGTGCATCTCGTACGTGGTTATCAGGCTTTAGGGTTTTCCAGAAGTTTCTGCTCGTCCTGCTGCGTTTCACTAAGTTAACCCTGGTTGTGCAACGCTTCCTCACTCTGTTGCCATTGGATACAGATGTCAGGAAGAGTCCAGAGATAAACACATGAAATTCAATATTTACCGGTGTCATCGTGCACCGCCGGCAGAGTAGCAACACATAGCGACGACATTCTGATGTTATGATCATATGTTGTAAATAAAGATGGTCGTCGTGCCTCCACTTCCTGTTGTTCAGAAATGAAGCCAAAGTATCCCAGGTATGAAAGCTGCCATCTTGTGCCGCTGGAGCTACGGTGTGTGTGGTTGGGTTGTGGGATTGAGTCAAGATATTGAGGTCCCGCCGAAATTTGAGCTCGACCAATCACAAGTCTGTCTCAGCTTGAGCTGGGCGATTAAAACGATGAAGATAATTATCACGAAATAACTTTTCCTTGACAGAAATCGAAGACATGATCGATAGGGCTCATTCCATCCTCGTTTCGACAGACAACGCAAGCAGCCGAACCAATCATGTGGGTGGAATAGAGTTATAGACGACAGAAAATGTTAACGAAATAGAAACCACAATGGACACAGCCCAAGGCGTCAAAAGACGAGGACATTGTCAAAAAGTAGGGTCAGACGAATTCCGATAGTGTGGAGATGTCTTGGCTGTTTAAAGTCCGACAAGAAGCAGAGTAGCGTGCGCCGCAAATTGTGATGAAAGCCTGTTCCCACAAACACACGTAACACAACTCATCTGTTTTCACCATCTGAAGCAGAAACAACTCTGTGAACATTTTATTTGACTTTTTTGTTTGGTTCATGTCCCACCTGCTAACATGGAGGAGGCAGGGTTTGCGACCCACCAGGGAGTGATGGAGCGATGGCTTTACTTTTGGGGAGCTGTCATGTCGTCCATCTTTATATACAGTCTAAGGTTATCATATGCAATATGAATCGGAACAAGCAAATGTTACTTGCTCATGTTCGTCTCTTCATTCAAGTAGTTTATCTCAAATCTATTTACTGCAGGAAATACCAACAGGGCAGTATTTCCTGTCCAACCTGTGTTGTATACCATTCACACATTCATTTAGTCTCTTGACTTTTGTGAATCCTGTTGATCTGGTAATCCTTCCAGTATGAAGTCTGGGACTATATCAAAGCGCTAATAAAATGAGTGTAATGAGAAAAGCACTTATTCTGGTATTGGAAGTGTTAGCTGGTTTTCTGATGTAGTAGTTTGTTGAAAACATTTGGAGAAAACTGCAAAACTACAGCTTTATGGCCTTTGTTATTAGAGAAGTACGAGCTTCATGTTTTTTTAAATCTTATCTGAGCAATGATGGAATCGATTGTGGCTTCATTTTTTATTATTGATATTGAGCCACTAAAAAGCATTAATTCACATATGGATTTTTAGTTTCTGTTTATTTCTGATGAATTCCATTAAAGTGAGTGCTTTTTAAATTAATAAATGCAGTTACTATATACATAATTGTTTCTTTGCTATAATCTGCTCTATATATTCTTTTCCTTTAACTAATTGCATCTCTTTAATATAGCCTTTTCTTGTGCAGACTTCTGAGGCAGTAAAGTTTCATTGAAGTACCAATTTTAAAGTTTAAATACATTATTCTTCCTGGATTATATCTCTCGCACTTATTTGTGAATGGTTTCCTTGTCCAAGTAGAAAAGGCTTACTCTGTTTACAGTAAATGGGATCTTCTTTAGTAGAAGGAGGATGAGCTGCCTCACATGTTCACACTCTGCTGTGTTTAAAGAACAAACACTTGTTGCTATGAATCTTTTGAGGTAATGTGCTGGATTATTATTGTGTTGCATCTAGCTGTCGTCCGTGTCCATGCTCTGTCAGCTGTGATTTGTGTTATGTGTTGGTTTCTTGCTGCTTTAGCTGTTTTGCTCAGTGCTCTTATTAATGTCAGACGTGTGGTGGTGTTTGAATGTTCTTTGACACTGACACACAGCTGTGCACACAGTGTTCAGTTTGTAACAGGATGATACTCCATTTACACGCAGTTAAATCTAAAGGGGAAAATTGAGCCTAAATCAAAGCTAATTTGTAACCTTGGACAGTTGCACATTTGTTTTTGCAGGAGTGCTTTGCTGTCAAAATGAAATACTGAAGTCTAATCAGAGATTGAAATCAACAGATAAAACAGAGAGGCTGCTCCCAGGTAATTAACTTGGGAGGTGTGTGCAGATGGAAATTGTTACAGCTTTATATGGCAGATGCATCTTTATGAGCCGATGAAATGAACATGATACTGTGCCCAGTAAGTACGCAGTTCCAATAGATATCATTGTTCGGGAAATTCCACTCACATTCTGGCCTGGGGTCCTGAACTGGGTCCTGTTACAATGAGTTCCTCCCGAAACTGAGTCTTACCTGACATCCAGGTTTATTATATATCTTTTTTATTTTGTCTTGAGTAATATACTCACATTTACCTACATTAGGGCCACATCAAAATGAGCTATTTGAATATATCATAGCTGTAAAATACATCAAATATTAACTTTAATAAGATAATACAAATTATTATAATATTTATAGTGGCCTGTAGTGTTGTCTGTAAAATCAGAATAAACCTTTTTCTTTCCTCAAGTGTAAACTAAATTCTCAGTATATAGATATATTGTCGTTTATACCCTTGCTTTACCCTCGTCTATTTGACTTTAAGTCTCTTGTATCCACTGTTAAACAATATTACATCTTCAAGAGAAATCTCATTTTCCACATCAGTACAGCACAGCTAAAAAAAACATGTTGCAATCTTCCACTGCTCAACTTGTCTGGACGTTTTTTCTCTAAAATCCTGTGTAGATTTGACTCATGATAAAAACCTGAGCTCTGGGATTACTTCTGCTGTTTGTTGACTTCTGTTTACAAGCCATATGTAGACCCCTGAACTCACTATCTTACCAATCACTCATAATCTTTCCCTTCGGCAACCTCCTCCTGAAATCCTTGAGTAATCCCTCCTTTATCTATCTATCGATTTTTTTTGGAGTCATATCTGGCTCCTGGGAATCCTTTGTTTCAAAACCAGCTGGAAGATGTTGCATCTACAAAGAAAATCTGCGGTGAGGTATCCATACAGACATTCATGCTCAGTTCCCCTGTCAGAGGGTTAGGTGCTGGGGTGAGATCCTTTTCTTAAAATCCATGGCCCCTCAGCTGACTCCTGTGAAACAATGGAGGAGTGGCTCATCAATGAGGTCTTCACCTCATCAATGACCGGAGAATAAAACCATCTGACCTGAAGAGAGGTTTCATCTTGGCTGCTCATATGTGCGGCCGGGATTCATTAGTTGGGAGCTTGTGTCTATACGTCAGGGTCAGATTAAAGGTCGACTATAGTGCATTCAGAGAATTGCTCTGTGAATCAGCTGTTGCCTCAACACCACAGTTTGACACACTGCTCACATACTGCTCCTAACTGGTGCTCAGTTTCAAGATATTTTTTAAATCTTTACTGATGAAAAAATATTCTACTCCCTCAACTAACGATTATCAATTATGCGATTATTTCTCAATTGATCTATGCATTTTTTTATCCAGATAATTTTAGATAGTAGTGAATAAATGCTGAACCAAGGTGACCCTGAGGTGACTTAATAAGTGGTTAAAAAAAGATTGATGACATGTCTTCATTTCTTCCAGTTGTAGAAAAATGCACATGCTCAACCAATTGTGAATCATTCTCAGCTGACAATCATGAGGTTTCACCCCAATTAAAACTGAACTTATGAGAAACATGAACATTTGTCAGTGTGATTAGGACGAACTTAAATGACAGAAACCATCTTTATGAAAAAATGTGTTTGACATGTACTCTCGACTTTTTAGTCTGATAACTGTCCAATCCACTAACATGGAGGAGATGTAGTTAATAACCTATCCTACAGCCAGTCACCAGGGGCTGATCAAGATGATTTGGCTTCACTTTTGGGAAGCCTACAGTCTATGAAGGTGACATTGGGAAATAACTTGTTTTGTCTGTCCAACAACTCTGATTTCCATCATATTGGACAACAAAAAAACAGAAGATACTAATCAGCTAGCTCTTTAATCACAACAAACCATGACAGTTACAGATTAGTAATTACTGTAACTTCCTCTTAAACGTACTGAAGTTTGTGGCAACAGATGTTCCCACCGTCAATCTGCTAAAAAATGTAAATATAAGTAATTTAGCTAAAGACTGGTCAGGGATTGCTGTGCAGCACATATCCATTGATCAAAATAATGATAAAAACTGTTTCTCTCTGGCTGTGCTCTAATTAGCAATGTCTTTCAATTGACTTCTAACAGCGGCTAATTTTAGGAAAATGGAAACTATCACTATCGCTTCATTTTGAGAGCTGACAACAAGTAAAGCCATCACCTCTGGTTCAGTGAGGCATCATGGGATTGACTGACCCACATCTGCTTCTCCCTCTGTAGCCTGGTTCACGCCGAGCAGAGCAGGAATCCATCAGATCGGGGGGTTTAGCTGTGTAACGCTGCCACAAGGCATAAATCTGGATACACATACACACACCGCACAGAACCAGGAGTAACCACATCTCTAGCAGGCTCTAGTGACCATTAAATCCTGAGTGCTGCGGGGAATCAGTAACGGCCGAAGTGAGGGGGATTAAAAAAAGGTACACGATGAGTCAAGATATTGGACTTGGTTTTTGGAAAGTCCCAGAGGACAATGAGAACTTTCTGGGTCATATCTCTCTATATTTAGTTTGTGGTTTATATGAGGATGTACTGTACACACACACAGAGGGAGAGACAGAGAGACACGGACTCTGTAATGGTTTTTCAAATAAGTGAAATTGAACAGAAAATGAGGGCATGGAAGATGAAGTGTCATAGGGAAGACGGTCACGAGTTTACTGCCTTGTCCCAACCAGGAGTCGCTCCCAACACCCCCAGCCCCCCACATGCTCACAACACAAACACAATCTAACTGCAAAGGCCACAGGTTAAAAATAGCAAACAAACAGGACACAGTGGACTCCCAGTGTAAGTAGTCCTCACTGGTTTGTTTATCATTTTTGTGTAATAGCTAAGGTCTCTCTTAACCCTCGCCTCTAGGTTTTCTTTTCTTTCGTCATTCGTTTTTACTGGGCCTGGTGCAGTCTTATGTATTATTTTGCCTGTCGACGATAAAAAAATAGCCAACCTGTCCAACAATGCTCTTAGTTGTTTGATATTTATTTGTACCTGCCACTAGATTTAGATGCAATATGTTGGGAGCTGTGTTCAGGAGATATTTGAACTTGATATAATGTTGGTACGGGTTATTCTTTGGGTGTTGTAGTATTACAGCTATCTGGGGAGAAAGCATGACAACTTGAATAACTTCTGATACATCGTTTTCATTGGACTTGTTCTGTCTTGTTTTCGAGAGTCTCGGCTTCATAACTGGAGCATTACATCATTTAGAAACATACTTCATGATCTTATATAGTGATATCGGAAATTCAAATTTTCTCTCTTTCAGCCTTAGGGTAAGGGATGATCACCTACTTATTATGTAATTGTACTGGGCTTGTATTAGCTTAGCTGTCCTCCCCCCTGCATCCATCTCTATTTCAGTGCACTTGATTACATTGTTGGGTATTGCCACCCTGTATAATGCCACAGCCCCCTCCCTCCCCTTAACAAATTTAGCCCTCTGCTGTGGAGGGAAGATATCGTGCCCGTCACACATGGCTACGCTCAGTTGAAGATTGTTGGGCTTTATCCCTGCAGGCCAACATGTCTTAACAGAACTCAACTTTCTCTCCACAGAGGCAACTTTGTGAATCTTCACACAAGACAGCACCCACAAACGCACACAGGCGGAGCCATGGTGGAATACTACCAGATGTTGGGGGTCCAGAGAAATGCAACGCAAGATGACATCAAAAAAGCGTAAGTACCCCTGAGTGTTTTCTGCCCCATTTTGTTTCACCGGGTGTTGTTGCACAGGCCCCTCAGAGTGGCGTAATAGGTTAATTATAACCACCTCCGGCTGTATAAACTGACACACACAGAGGGAGGGAGAGAGAGAGAGAGAGAGAGAGCGCAATACAGAAAGTTTCCACTCTTGTTCCTGTAACCTTGCTGCTTTCAAATACCTTCCCTTTACGCTCACCCGCCACGCACAGTCAAACCACAGGTTTCCCACTGAAAGTCTTATGTTTTGAAAAATAGTGTTTATTCTATGTTCAAGACCGAAAACAAGACTTTTTAAATGTACGTGTGTTCTCCAGAGGACACTAAAGGTTATCTTGGGTCAGGTACCTCAAAAAGCATGTTGGAGTCCTAAATCTGAAATCCATGAAATGTATTTATTATTGCTGCTTAACACGTTAGAGTATCCAGTGTGCAGAGAATCCAGCATATGAAGATAACAAATGTGAAGAGTCTGCTGCAGTTCTTCATCTCTTATTGAATTGTTAGCCATGATAGCACTGTAGCCCTTGAGTTTGTATGTTGTTGCCATGAAATTTGTACAGATATTCATGTTCTCAGTAAATATTCAAAAAAATGTTTTTGCTCTCTTAATTCTTCATTTCATCTTCAGATCCAATTTTAAATTTGTCCAATGCTTTGATTGATGACCTGTAAAATACATGCATGTGTTAACGCTATTTGCCTCAATAATCATGTCTCATTTATGGTCATGTTCACACATCCCGACTGTTCCTAAGTACAGGCTAACAGTGCTGCTAGCATGGCTGTAAATGCTGTAAACTCTTGTTTTGCTTATTGATTAAATGCTATAGGTTACAGTTGGGTGAGCAAGCGTTAATAACAAGAACAGTGATGTTTGAGCAGAATGTAGATAATTCAGATTACAGTATGTTGTTGCTTTCACTTGTGAATACAGACTTCAGACAACAAAGACCACAAAAACTGATATGTTACACCATTATCAACCATGCAACATGGTTCAGGTGACCATTGAGTGTCTTGTGGAGTCTAGTCCACCTGTGTATCTGCTGCTGCTGCTGCTGGGATCAGAAACAGCTGATGCAGCATAAGCTGCTGAGCAAGGCCCACATTGTACGTCAATAGAGTTCAGACTTTCTTTGTTATTTCTGCTTGGGTGGGAAGAAGAACAGTGTGTGTCTGTGTGGTCATGTTTACCAAAAATACGTGCATCTGGATATGAATTTCTGACTTCTCTACACCTTGCATGTGTCTATCATTTGCACTGAGACTTGTTTGTCATTGGTATATCTATATAGGAAACAAAATATTTTTGGCTCTATGTTTTGTATCTGCTTGTTTTTATGCAGTACCGTATTTCTGCTCCAGTTACAGAAAATTGGCATTGAAGTGGCATCCAGACAAAAACCCAGACAACAAGGAGGAAGCAGAGAAAAAATTCAAAGAGCTGTCAGAGGCGTATGAAGTGCTCTCAGATGGTAAGATCTTTTTGTTTTTACAGCTTGTACTGATGTGAAAGTTCGAACTCTATTTGAAATAATCTTTTTCGAAAAGACACATATTGTCTTTGACATATCAGATATGGAAGTTGATCCCAGAACTGTTTGTTAAACTAATTTAAGACGGGCTGTTCATAGTAAGCCCTTCTTTTAGCACAATGCATTAGCAACGAATTGATATATGCATATTGAGGTTTTTATTGCTATTATTGTTTTCATGTATTGCCCAGCACTAGTACTCTATATGGAGGATCAAAACAATATTTGACGTTCAGTAACTCAGTCCTGCTGATAAGTTGTACATTTATCTTGCATTAGATTTATAAACCAACAGGTACATTTCTGTTTCTGGAGGGGATGAGCATAATGTCTGGTATTTAAATGTAGGTCTGAAAGCAGAAGCTATTTTACTAGTCTCTGTTAAGTACCACACACCCTGTCACAAACTGCAGGTATTATATGTATTCAGGCTGCTCAGTGTCAGGAATGTTTGTGCTGGAATGTGTACGTCTCCTTCATTTTAAACATCTGGTGTTGTGGGTTTAGTTTTACTTTCTGTTTGTCACGTTGTGCTTTAGAAAATTATACGTTTATTCTGTGAGTGTGTTCAAGTGCTGATGGCTACGTCTTTTTGTGGCTGAACAGCAGCATTGTGTAATTTGAAAAGCTCACAGAAGAAAGTCAAGCTGCAATATTAAAAGAAGATGGATCCGATGGACGTAATGTAGAAAATGTCAACATTCACTCACCAGTTTCAGGGTTTGTTTTTTTTTGTTTTCACTTCAATTTTGTACAATTTACAATGTACTATTTTGCACATCGATCCAAACATTGTTTTATGTGTTTTTTTAATAAACATGATCATTCCTTGATGTCTCGGCTCCTTTTTTTAAACTCATTAAATTAACAGATACACCAGAAATTATGAAATAATGTTAAGCTATGGGTTTTAGGTTACAGCCGGGTTAGCAACCGTCCTTTTCTGAGTCACCTTCAGGACTCATTCCTCAGGCATGTAAATCCATTTAACAGAGCTTGCCAGGTTTCAGTATTCAGTGGGAAAGACACATTTTTGTTGGTACTCAAACAGTATTGTAAAAGTTGAATTGTGTGTGGGTGATAATAACATGTTTGCAAAATGTTGTAGTAATTGCAGGTTTGAAAACAGAGCAGAAGCTTGTCACATTTTGTTAGTGGTTGTTAAGTACCACACACTCAGTCACAAGATGCTTGTGACTGAGTGTGTGGCAGTTTCAGCTTTTAAACTACTCAGTGTCACACTCTGCTTGTCACCTGATGCCTGAGACGATTATCAGTTTAGTGTGTAAATGTGTTTTTAGGTGCTGCTGATAAGTTAAATAAACTGTATAATTTAGATTTGCATTATTGAGTATAATATAGAAATGCTATTTCTGATGTGTTAAAGAGGGAAATATTCAAATGTTGTGTGGTTTTACTTTAGCTGAAATTGTTAAATTGCTAAATTCGTTGCATTAAGGGGCTTTTATTTTGATGTTGACACTTTATTTTACGAGTGAGGACAAATAAATAAGGTAGATAAAAAAACAGAAGATGTATTTGTTGTGTATTTGTGTGTCTTTGAATCTCATCGGTCCTTTTCTTCCCTCCATAGAAAGTAAGAGGAATATTTATGACAGATACGGCAAAGAAGGCCTTTCAGGAGGAGGAGGCGGAGGAGGTAAGGAGATGACTTTTAAGTAGATGATAAATATTTCTGTTGGTGGCAGATGATGGATTTCAGTTGTTAATTCTAATAACTTTAAAATGTTTAAAAATAAACTGAATTTTATGAGGTTCCTACATTGTTGTGAAAGTAACTGCTGCACCAATAGAAACATATGATAATTTATTCATTCATATGTAGCACAGCCTGGTTTTGTATTGATATTTTTATGACCTGTGATGATAGCAGTGTCTGTAAACCTGCCTTTAATCCTTACTTTATGAGTTCTGTTGTTGTTTTATGTTTTCCAGGAGGACATTACGATCACTATGGCGGTGGCGGCTTCACATTCCGTAATCCTGAAGACGTTTTCAGGGAATTCTTTGGTGGCAGAGATCCATTTGGAGATTTGTTTGGTAAGTCCATTTCATTTCTGCTGAGGCACTGTTGAGATTTCTTGTTTTTCACAGAGCAGGAAGAGCGAGGGACTGAATAGTGTCCTGAGAGTCTGGAGTATGCAATGACTATTATTAACTTGATAATTTTATCTGGTCAAAGATATACATGGATGGTCTGGGAAGGCTCACGAGAGACAGAGAGAGAAGTACATCCTGTTCACCTCAGTTTTATGTATGTTATACTCTGGTATAGTTATTTTGCCCTCTAACTTGAAGCTTTGTGGAAATTTGAAAGATGGAGCATTGGTACCCAGGAAACATTCTATAAATCCGGCTGCTAATCTCGCACACTGCTGCAATGTTCATGTCCAATACAGTCAGTACTGCTCCCCTCAGGGGGTTATCTGCCATTAAATGTCACATGCTGGAGTATCTCTGCTGGATGTCAACTAATGTCAGCTTCATTATGTATCATCATCTGATTACCAGGATTTAAACTCTTAATTTACTCCAGCTTTAAAAAAATATAAAAAGCTCTTTATTTATATCACCATTACAATCAGTTCAAAAGCAGCGGCAGCATGAATACAGAATGATTTTTCAGTCATTGAAAGGTGCCATCTGATGACAATAGAAAAATAATAAGGCAAAGATTAAATACATGGCAACAGTTCTGTTAAATTCATTCATGCTGCAGTAAATTACACACATGCATTGATTTCAGCTCCTTTAACATGATTTTCTTCATCAAAATCTGAGTTCCCCCAGGGAAATCATCGAAAGTGTAGAAAAAGCGCCCGATCTCAAAATGTTGAAGAAAGTGATATAGAAAAGTCCTGCTCCCCTAACTTTGTCTGGATTCAAGACAAAATGTATTGGGTTCTTCTTTCGTGGTCTAAGTTTCGTTGAACTATTTTCTGTAGATAATAAAAAAAACCCAGTTATGAATCAATGTAGTACTTTCATTAATATCACAAAGAATTAGTACATCTCAGTTTGTATGTTTAACTTACTTTGTCATTTCTATTTGTCTAAAAGAAAATAATGTTTTTAGTTGTAGTATAACTTTTGATTGGTTTTGTCAGAGAAAACTTGTGTACTGCTTTTCACCAGTGGCATCTCATTAGTTGTAATGTCATCGTCTTGTAGTGCAACAGCTGATTGTGTAAGAAATGTGGATGGTTGAATTAACAATTCAAGAGTAACAGGAGTTTTAGCGCCTGCCGTTGGTTGTCTGGGTTCAACAGAGGGCTGATTGGAAGGCATGTGTATTTCACCCCGCGTAGCTCTAAATATGGAGCTCAGACACAGCCAGTGGATGGATATGAACGTCTACATCACTCAACTGGAATGCCTTCAAAAATAGCTTCCGTATTAAAACAAAAGCAGATGTAATAATGCCAAGTGTGTGTGCTCTGTGTGCATAAAACATGATACGATTTTAGCTCCCAAACAATTTCCGTGCAACACAGACTCTGGATAAACACATATGAGTTATTGGAGCTGCTTACAAACACGAGATTGTAAAAGAGTAAAGAACGCAGTCGTTATCATCTCAGCTGTTATATATCAGTGTTTTTATAAACTGGAGACAATGACATCCACTACTGTTCTTATTTCCACGGATAAGATAAATTGAAAGTGGCAGCTGTTGCTGTTTACTCATCTTGGTAAATAGAGACTGTTTAAAAAAAGCCAAACCATAAAGCTGTCTGCAGTGTCGTGCAGGAGAGTAAAGTTCAAGATCTATTTTGACTGAGCAAAAACCTTGATTAGGTTCAGTTATGACCATGTCAGAACATCCATCTTCACCGATTTTATTTCAAGTCTATTTTTAAGTATTTTTTTCCCCTTTAAAGAACCGTTGAGTTTTTTCGGACGTTCGGTGGGATGGCAGTATTCAGTTCTGTCCGGTCTCCAGTCCTGAGTGTCCTACAGCTCGTCACAGCGAGCAGCAGCAGCTGGTCCTGTGGATCTGTCACTCAGCCACCGAGCGCATCCAGCAGACTGGGGGTGGTGGGGTTTGAGACAAATACAGATTCACACGATGACGAGGACCCAGTTGTCTGCCAAGTGCAGCCCACACACTTCATCTGAAATGAACATTTGAAGAAGTAGATATCGGCAGATCAACTTTTACACATTTGAAGGTATATTATTTAGGCCTTTGTGCCTTTTCACAAGATAGTGAAGAGAAGGTAAGAGAGGGAAATGTAGGGGTGCAGAGGGGGGGCTATGATCCGACCAGCTGAGAGTCCTATTGCTTGGGGCATGAATACCCATTTAGTAAACGCCCAGACCATTCAGCTATCAGGTCGCACACATACTGTCGAAATTATCAAAATATTTCCACCATGTCTCCCGTTCTATATTTACCTATTTGTTTGTCAACAGGAGGACATGAAAACTGCTGAACCTATTTCAACAAAACTGGTTAGAATAGTGGGACGTGAGGAGAGAAAGAACAACATTGTGACTAAATGGCGTTAATAATTCTTGGCTCCAAAAGAAAAAGAGTGTGTGGTTCAGCTTGATATCTTTTAAGGAGACTGTTGAGGGCCATACTATTTAGACTTGTAACTATCTGAGTTGAACAAACTAAATTATTGATATGCTTTGTTTTGTTGTACTATGTTTTCCCTCAGCTTTTGAATATTTACATCCTGAAAACCCCCACTGTCATTTCTCTTTACCCTGTGCTGATACACCCTCTGCGGTGTTGTGTGGGTGTGGCACATTCTTCACTGGCTTAATCTCAGTCTTTGTGCTTGACAGATCTTTAAAAGTTATGTCAGAGTACACAATAGAGGGCTGTGCTCTTATCTTCGAGAACGCCTCGACTCTTCTTCTGAGCCACCTCTTACCGGTGATGGAATGAAAGCAGAATGTAGATGTTTTCATTCCTCTTTCTCTTCCTCTGCTGTCTGCAGTCTTACAGACAGCAGAGTAAGAGCGCCACTGTCTTGTCTAATCCCGTCTTCTAGGTAAATGGACAGTAATGCAGTTACAGCAGTGGTCAGGGGATACTTTTATTTTAAGCTTTCTGTCTGAGAAAGCTCTGTACATTCAAGGTTGAGGGGAGAGTCTTCTTTCAGCGAACGGTGCCAGCGATCCAGTCGTAGCCTGCTGGGCTAACCCAGATTGGCAGCTCGCAATTAGTAGCATGTCCACAGGGCTTTAGGAGAACTGGTGAGGGGCACTTAGATGGTTTAAGGTTAAGATTGTTCAAGAAATTACAAACTGGTGCCCTGACGTCCATTGTCAGAATCATGGTCCAGCAGGTTGAAGAGTAATGCTGAATTGTAGATCATTTAAAAATATGTAAAGGTCATTAAAACTCAGTGTTTATCTCCAATATTCAGGGAGGAAACTTTTAGTACATGAGTTTGGTTTGATACAGCCTTTTTCTGGTTTAGGAAGCCAGGAATTATGGGTAAACCCCTTAATTGTTCGGACCAGCCTGCAGAGGGCGCTGTTGCCCAGTTAAAGACACAGTGTTGCTTTAAAGCTGCTATAATCAATATTATTTCAACAGTGCATTCAAATACTGTTAAATGAGAAAGTGGTCACATGTTGACAGTGAGTCATCCTCCAACGCTTCGCAGGTCTTAAAGTGTTGAGTGTTAAAGTGTCTGTCAGCTCATTGTTTAGGTTTTCTCTGCTGCCTCTTCACTACATCTGTTCACTCTCACAAGCCTTGTTTTGGGCGCAGCAGCTATTTTCAGCAAAAAGCTTTAAAACCTACACACGGTACACTGCCTCCTCTGCACCCCACAGCAGAAGGATGGACTTAACGACGAGCTGGTAAACAGAGAAGAACATTCAGCAGCTAAAAGAGACAGATATTTCCCTGAGGAGCCGGTGGAGTCTAAAAATAGATAACTAGAAGCTACAGAGAGAAAATATTTAAACTTAAATTCATCAGGTCGTCAGAAACATGAGTCCAAATGAAGAATATGAAATATGTTGCACTGCCTCTGCTCTGTGTTAATATGCAATTTCCACAGGGAGCTAATAAGTTCATCATACTTTACAACTTTAAAGTGACAATACATCAGTGCTGTGTTCAAAGTTTGTGTTGCTGCCAAATCAAATCTCAGGTTTAATAATGTTTTAAAAACTCTTTTTGAATACTTGAGTTCCTCACTCACAAATCACCAACTCATAATCTACGATACTTTTTTTTTACAGCCGATGACCCTTTTGATGATTTCTTCGGAGGCAGTCGCAGTCGCCAGAGGGGCACAAGTCGGAACAGGATGGGAGGCCCGCTCTATGGTTTTGGGGGCTTCCCAGCTTTCGGGCATGGCTTCTCAGGGTTTGATTCAGGTGCGTCCATTCCGACAAATATCTTTTACTTTTAGTAGATGCCTTTGTCGTTGAGAATTTATGATGCTTTCATATTTTTAGAAAGGTTTTTTGCTCTTATACAGGTTTTAGCTCGTTTGGAGACATGGGTGGAGGAGGCATCACCTCTTTCTCTTCTTCATCTTTTGGTGGCGGCGGAGGTGGAGGCGGTGGAGTAGGGATGATGGGTAATTTCAGATCAGTGTCGACCTCCACCAAGTTCATCAACGGCAGAAAAATTACAACAAAACGGTAACAAACATTTCTAACTCAGTAGAATCTGTATAAGCCTGAAACTTTGCTCTCTAATTGTTTTTGTTTTTTTGCACAGGATTGTGGAGAACGGCCAAGAGCGAGTGGAGGTGGAGGAAGATGGTCAGTTAAAATCTCTTACAGTTAATGGTAAGGAGCAGCTCCTAAGACTGGATAACAAGTAAATATCACGCCATAAGATTTGATCAACATTCAGTTTTCACACCTGGGAAAAAACAAAACTGGCCGAGTGAGATGTTTGCTACCGATGGTCGGTCTCTCCTCTCTCTGTCTTCCTGCATCGCATTCCTGCAAGAACAGTTTTCTTATTTTTGCTTTAGCTGCAGGCAGAGGCACGAGAGACGTTCAGTGTTTGTATATTTGTATTTATTACATTATCACCGGGGGACCATCTTTGCTGCGATTTGTGTTTTTTGTTTACTACAATAATTGAATTGTACTTTTAGTTCTGCCACATGCACAAAGCTGAGTATGTGCTATATATAGATATAATGTTTTTTTTTCCTTTTGAGGTGGATATTGTCTTTCTTGTTGTAGCAGGAGACGCTGCACATTTGGACTTCCACATCATTTCTGCTCTTTATACTTGACCAGTTTAACCAGTAAATGATAAAAGCTTTACCACTCGGCCCTAATTGCTTTGACTTGAACTTCACCTTGCTAACCTGTTAGCTTTTTACCATGACCATGCGTGTGTAACATGAATGACACATATTATTAATAAATTAATTATAATGTGCATTTTCCTTACTTTTACATCTGTTTGCATATTTGAGACATGGTTTGTTTTTTTGCATGATTGCTGATTCCAGGAGGCTGCTTCATAGTTTCACTGTAACTTTGTCAGCAGAACATGCACTATCACTTTAGTACTGTTACCGGACTCACAGGGAACAACTTTTTGCTCTTTGTTGAAAGAAAAGAGAAAAATAATAAAGATTTATTCAGATTTTGGTCAATAAAGTTGAGTTTGATGTTGTGAAAATGCTTCTGCAGTCACCTGGTGTCTGTGTGGTGTTTTCCTTCAGCCTGAGTGACTTTGCATCATCTCACTCTAAATGGAAATATGGTGTTTGTGTGTGTGTATGTGTGTGTCCACATGTGCCTGATCACATTTTAGATCTGCTTCACACAGTCGCAATAAAGGAAACCACAGTGGCTGCTTGTTGTGTACACTCACCCATCATACAACTCACTGTGTGCATCATTCTTAACCTACTAATGTCACTGATAACACAGCACAGTGGTAAAGTTCTAAATAATTTACAGATTAGATCTTATGAAGAAACTCAACTTTTTCTTTTTCTACAGCAATGTTACGTTTCCCTTTTCAAACCCTGGGGTGTTTTTTTCTCCTCTGTGGTAGGTATGCTTTACCTTTACAGACCAGGTGAGTGGAGAAAACCCCACCTCCAGGATTCATTCACTCTTCCTCCTTTTTCTTAATTTCTCTCTCTGGCCCTCCTGTCGGGACATTTGCATGTACTTTTATTAATGCAGATACTGCAACTCTCGTGTGCTGAACAGAACCAGAGCTCAGCAGAGATGCCGAAGCAAACCGATGACCATAAAATGATCTTTCCTATTAGCTGCAAAAATCCCAAATTACATAAAAATGTCTTGTTTGGTGATGTGAATAACTAAAACTGGGTTTGTCAGCTCTCACTCCATCAGAAGACAGGATTGGCGCTGACTCAAAGCTGAACTATTGTAGTTGAAGTAATTGCAGTTGGCTCAGAGGTCACTGTGCACTGACAGAAGAAGACTGTGTGTGTATGTGTGTGTGTGTGTTTGTGGAGGAATGTGCTCGGGGCTGGTTTATTTACACAAGACCCAGTGCATATCTTTTGTGAGTCAGGAGAGCGAACTGGGGAGGAAGAGAAAGAGCAGCGTGAGGCCTTCAGGGAACTCAGCCTGAAATGTGAAGTCTCAGCTTGTCATATCTGTAAAATACAAAAATTATGAACATGTTTGGCTCAATCTGTCGTGGAAGCCATGTTTTGAAGTTTTATGTGTTTGTCCTTTAAATTTCTTTGCACCAGCTCTGGTTTGAGCGGTGGTTACGCCTAAGGTCCTGTTGCTAGGTGACAACGCAGCCTTGCGCCAGTCACAGTCGACTTACGCATCCTGTGCGCTCTCAGCTCAACGTGTTCGTGCGTAAAAGCGCACAGCGGATAGATAGATGTAGATGTGGATTATTAATTTAACAGCGATAATCTCAACATCTTTATTTCAAAATCTATAAAATGTTCATGTTATTTATTTTCATTGAACCTTCTGGTTGTAGTAAGAATCAGGAGTCAATCATCAACATAAGACAATGACGGAGAACCAGCAGCTGAATTAGAGCTGTAGAGGCAGGGGTCATATTTGTGGTGCAATAGCGCCCTCTGCAAGACCAAGATATATTATGTGTCAGAACAGGGTTTCTGGATCTGTGACTAGATATTTTAGCAAAATGGCACTAAACGTTGTCGAATTAACTATGTGCATTTCCTTATTGCAATGACTCCATAAATGTACAGACTTATGTCACCGAATCACTTTGATACTGAGGAAAACGTGAAGAATATCAGGCGAGTTCTGGAGCGTCTTTTTTCCCTCTGGTCTATAATCCTGATTTTCGGTGTTTATTCGCGTTGGGCATCATTAAAATGTTCCTGTCGGATTCACAAATGTTAGAATTTTTATTTTAAGAACTTTGACCATTAAAAGCTATAAGTCGTTGAACCAGTAAGTCCAGAAAAATCAACATACTCATGAAGTTATTTATACACTATTGCCATTACCGTTTCTGGCTTTGTGATTTTTAACTTTTATATTTTAACAAATTGCAACCGCCGATTTAGATATTTGCAGTTTCTCTTTATAATGTGTCCATAGATGTGCAGATTAATGTCACTTTATTAGTTTGATACTGTGGACAACTTTAAAACCGGAGAAATCTCAGGCGAGCTCAGGAGCTTCTTTTTTGTTTGATTTATAATCAGTATTTCGCTGTTTATGTTGATGGACATCAGAAATAATTTACCTTAAGATTCATTTCAATTAAAACCGTTTGTTTTAAGAATCTTGATACATTACCACTTCTTCAAAACACACAGCCTAAAAAATATTGTAAAATAAGAAGTTGAAGAAAAGTAAAATCTGAATTAATCTGTATTTTTTAGTCTGATATTTTGATTAAACGTTGTCCCCTTGTGTGGCCACTAGATGACACTGTTTGTATACAAAAGACCCTGTTCCCCAGGAATCACAAAATCAGCAGCACAAGAATAAATGAAGCAACATGTGAGAACTGAATCAATGTTTATATGTCAGCACACTTTTTATTATTTAAGATTTGATAAGACCGGCTGCCTGTTTCCATGGAGGAGTTTCCTCTCAACAAAAACAGCATCCATCAACTCCAACATGACTCATAATACTCTGATTTCCTGTCCCAGAGCCCCACCCCCACGTTGTGAAATATGACTTCCTGTCTGCAGGGAGCAACATCCGGTTTCATTCACTCCCCCCCCTTCCTCCACCTTGTCTGCCTGACATCATGGCGTGAAGCCTCAGCTCGGCCCTCGAGCTGCAGGCCGCTCACTTTATGAACGATGGCACAGATAAGCTGCCGGTTTCTCCTCTCGGCTGAGAGTGTATCTCTCTGTGCTCGGCTTCAAACTCACATCAGCACGACTACAGACGACCTGAGGTTTACTGTAGAAAATAATCTGATCGGTAGTTTCATGAAGCTTCCTCCTGAACACTGATTCATTTTAAACGTCCACTGAAAACCCGTCCTGCCAAGGCCGACTCTGTCCGTCACAAATGTTCGGCCTGTGTGTGTTTATAGTGTCGACCCGTGTGTTTGTCCCTGTGCACACGTTCTTGTGTTTCAGTCTAGACAGTGCGGAGCAAACAGCCTGCACAGACGCGCACAGCATTGTTTAGCCCCGAGACAAATGACAGGCACTCTGGAGACAATAGCTGCAAATGAAAGCGTCCAGGAGCTCGACTGTGTTCACTCTGCTTTTCAAATTAAGTCCTTGATCCAGAAAATAAAAGGCTGCCGTTATGAGCATTAAAAGATCTCATTATCATCGCTGCTCTTTGATATTGTTTTTGTTGGAATTAATTAACTGATGATGGATTATTGCGACTTGATGGGATTCTTATCGCCCAGGTAACCGGGGCCCATAACAGACGCAAATGATTGGTCCTCTGGAGTAAAGGGAAATAAAGTGTGCAACCTTGAAGTCGTCTTTTGGCTTAATCCAGCCGTCTGACTTCACCTGAGATCACCAGACACATGCACGAGTAGCTGCAGCCACGAGAGTAAAACCACCAATTGTCCTGTTTCTGCTGATCCACTCGGAGTCTGTCTCTCTCTCTCTCTGCAGGGTCACCTCTGTGTTTTTAAAGCTGCGTTCGATTTAAAAAGATAATTTGAAATATAAGAAATTCAACTCTGGGGCTAAAATACACACAATCACATTTAAATTGAGTGTTTTCAGCGAAAAGATACGCCGCAAAAAAGTACTCGAGACAATTTTGACCTTAAGAGACTCGAGAGACAAAGAAATTGGACTCGGGTCAAAATGGACGACCTGCAGTAATAAGATGCCCGTTCAAAGAGAATTGGAATCTGGGGGGAGTCTTTGTCTTGCATCAAAACCCCCTGAGCTCGTCCTGACGTTCTAAAACAAACGTCACACAGAGATTCAGTTTACGTTAGTGATGAAAATGACTGTCTGTTTATGTTTCGATGGCACACGCAGCAGCCACAGGTACAGGTCAAACAAAGCTGCCGCGTCTCTAATGACCCCCGCTGCGTCTGAGGCTATTACGCGCTGTTCCCCGGGATTTTGAAAACGCTGCCGCAGACCCTCCTCTAAATGGGAGCAGGTTCGGCACAGTGAGCATCTGGCCTCTTTTCTTCTCCTCCTCTCTGCCTTAATTACACAACACAATGGCCATGAGATCTGCCTGTAATCTCGCAGCATAATAAGCCCCCCCCACCCTCTACGCCCCTGCCTGCCACTAATTCAATATAAATGTAAATTACCCAGAGAAAAGAATAACCAAATCTCATTTTATTTACATGACTAATCACAATAAAGTCAGGCAGATGAAATATGAATGAAATATATGTTTGGCGTTAGAGAGGAAGGTTCTGCAGCGCCTCTGGACTCTCTGAACTTCTTGTTTTATAACATCTTTGTTGTTTCCTGTTGGTTTCATCAATATACCTTTTTACACTTGTGCTCGACTTGATGTACCAGATGTGTGTATCTGCTCTTTCTCCCTGTCTGATTGTATTCACACTGCCAAGGGCACCACAAGGTAATATGTTTTCCTTTCAGCTTTTCCTGCACATCTCACGTCAGACGGCTGGAATTCATAGGAGCTACATGGGGGAGGACAAAAAAATAGAAAATAAAGATTTAATGTTGGTTTGAACACCTCAGGCGATGCATCCAGGGTTTAGTAGTGATTCATTCCCTCTCTGCTCTGCTGTGCTCACACCCACAGATATCGCCGCCGAAGAGCCCTTGGAGGAAGAGTGTCGTCGCCGCAGACAGAACACACTTCCTGGCCTCAGCTTGCACCCACGCTACCTGCGGAATTCAACCCAAACTCCTGCAGAAGAAGAGGAGGACCACGGCCTGCAGTGCCTAACGAGAGGTCCGCCCACTGTCCCACCGTGCCAGGCTGATTAATCACCAGCACACTGAGCTCCCCTTTAAAGACCCGAGTCTTAATAAGCACAGCTAATTGTCTGCTTTTGTGTCTGACGGCCACACAAAGCACGACGAGGACGAGCGGCGCGCTTGACTGGCAGGTGTAAACACGGAGGACAGAGGTGTTCATTAGGCGCCTCTGTTCTACATCGTCGTAATGACCAGAGGTCAGAGGTCACCCTCTGTTTTCCCTCACGGGGTCAGGAAGTCACGTACAAAAGCCGAGCCATTACATGCAACACGCAGCCGCTGAATGTTTTATAACAGCAGCTTCATTAGTTAAGGAGGAAACCTTTAACTTCGCTGTGCTCGGCTCCTGCTGCGACGCAAACAAAGGCCCTAACTCTGTTTCTGAGATGATGACACAAACTGATCGAATATCCAGAGAGAGAGAGAGAGAGAGAGAGAGAGAGAGAGAGAGTTTCTGAACTGCAGCTATATGCATTTTAAATGTGACAAGAATTAGATCCACTTTCTGACAAGTCACTCCTGCTACTGTTCTCTCAAGCTGTGACTCATACGTTTATTAATAGTTAATGGATGATTTACTGATGTTTTACAGATTAACTGTGTTTAACTTCTCAGCTGCTAAGCTCATTAAGAAGTTTCCTCTAGTGAACTGTTTGACCTCTGACCCTCTGGCTGCAGCTCATCAGGATCAGAGAGTTTCAACAACTTATTAGAACGAGAATCATTTCGAATAATCAGATCTGATTGCAAGTGAATGAAGAAATGTTTCATGTGAATAACTGTGTTCAAGATTTAGTAACATTTAGACAAAACTATTTTTATGGATGACTTTCTATTTCACACAATGTCAGCATAAAAAACACACACGGGTTAAAACAAGCTCTTGACAAAATCAACTGCAGCTGATAATAAAAAAATACTAAGACCTTACTAAACAATGTCTCAACAATATTTTCTATCTTACTAAACAATAAACATATAATACCTGCTGCTGTGGCTCTATGAAGCATATGATTGATTAACATTAGTAAAGTCATCAGTTACAGCTTATAAACCCTAAACAAAACTTTGACTTGTTAGAAAGTGGTAATAAACAATTTAAGTTTAATGTTAAGATTTTAAGATTTGTTTGTTCTTTTTTATTTTGTAGGACACATGGACTCCAAGAGGAAGAAACTGTGGCTAAAGGAGGAGTCCAAAAAGAAAAGAGCTCCTCGACTCTTCCCACGGTTCGGTGGACTCGGTGCCTTTTTTTAAACACACACACACACACACACACACACACACACACACTTGTTGACAGAAGCATCATCTATCACACGCAGCATTATTTCATCTATGCTACGTATCAGAGGCCCAACATCCCCACTGTGCCGTATCTTCTCTTGTCCATCAGCTGCAGTGCAGATTATAACCACTGTCTACTTTCATCAGCTGAGCGCCAGCCTGCAGAGACCTCACGTCAGTGTTTTGTTTTGTCCAAGGTGCTTTTTTCTTTTCTTTTTTTTTTAGTAGTTAAGCTTTTGCAATTTGCTGTATTTATTGTGGGGGGCGGGGCGGGGTGGGGTGGGGGGCTGTGGATGTACAGTGAGCGTTCAGAACCCTAATTAATCGGCATGTTTTTGAAAGCGCGTGTTTGCATTTGAACGGGTTCTGGTGGAAGGAGAATTACAGTAGTGGCCTTGTTTGTGATTAGCGTGAGAATTACTGCACTAATACTGTAAAGCATGTGAGAATAAATGAAGGTCAGTGAATCCTTTTTCCAATAGAGAGGAGGAGGGAGAGGGGATAGAACACAATGAAAGCACTTAAGAGTTGAATTTTTTTTTATAGAAAGAGATGAACATATTCAGCACTCTCCTCCATCATATATGAAAACTGAACGTCAACACTCTGGCAGTAATATTATCCATGATTTACCACGACTCCAACAGGGTGGGAAACAGCTTTTAACTCCTCTGAAAAATATTGTTTCCTGGAATCAGTAACGTGTTTCATAAAAGTTTCCATAAACAAACATGATAGTTTCCCTCGTCTGCCTTGTCCTTGACAGTCGTCATGATCAGTGAGTGGAAATGTGGAAATGTCAAAGAAATGTTCATTTTTTTATGGACTCCTACAAATAAACGCGTAAACATGTGGTTGCAGGTGTCTTATTGTGTCGTGACCTTTAACATCCACAAAAAAACCTGTAATAGACAAAATTGAAAAAGCGTCATGAGTCTCATTGAATTTAAAAATGTTGATTAGAGCAGCTTTCATCAAACTGCTGCCTAACCTTAACATCCTTTAAACACAAGCGAGGCCTTTGAACAAATGCAAAAACATCCAAACGTCACCGCCAAGTCTTAATCAACAGAATTTCTTCTTTGTGACGTTGCCAAGTCACCTGAGCTGCAGCGCCTCCCTCCCACTGTATGTGTCTCTCACCAGCTGCTCTCCTGCAACCGCGGTAATTGAACAGAGGCAGCAACAAAATACCCTGGATTTTCCCGTCACAAGGGCCGAGCTCTGGAAGGAGTAGTATTCTTAGATTATTCTGAATCAGCCTGCAGTGTTTTGTATTATTCATGTGGCAGAACGCGTGCACATGACCCAGCAGCTCATTTGGCCCTTGTTCCCATGCAGCCGATAGTCTCTAAGGGTTTAATTAAACAGTGTCAAGGCAGTGGCCCATCTCCCTCCATTGCCTTACTTTTTTTAATGCCTCCTCCTTCCAAAGTCATTACACAACAGTTTCTGACTGGGTTTAAAAAAAGAAAACGGTGAAGTCCTGCGATTGACTTAAACTCTGAGGACGTCTACCTCTTTAGGAGCCGAGTGCAGAGCGACAGACGTCAGCCACCATCTGTCACCTTTAAAAGAAAAAACAACCACTTCCTCCTGAACCATGTGTCGCATGTATCAATGATGTTCAGAGTAATTATCTTCAAGTGAGTGGAAAGAAACCCACGGTGTGACAGGATGGATGGATGGAGAAACAGATAGAGATAGATAGAGAGAGCGAGATAGAAGGAAAAGAATGATGGTAAGATAAAAAAAATGGAATGGAAAGATAGATAGATAGAAGGGAGGAAAGAAATTATGGAAGATTGATGTAAGATAAATACATAGAAGGAAAGAAAGATGGAAAAGAATGATGATGGTCAGATAAATAGACGAATGGAAAGAGATAAATAGATTAATGATATATATATAGATATATATCTATATATATACAGAGAAATACATGCTTTGCATGTTGTGTATTTTTTAAAACATGTTGTAATAATAGTGTTATATAACTTTTGATAATATCGTGCAAAAAGCCTGTAAGTGGGTATTGTTCAGCTAAATCAGCACAGACGCCATTTGATTGTTACTGTAACAAAAACCGACAGCGGCTGCTCAAACAGGAGGTCACGACCGCGACGAATGTATAGTGCTGTTGAAATTAATAAACCTAATTGCGTTCATAGCAACCCCTGATTGGATTAAATCAACATGAAACAGAACAAGACCTGAAACACAGATGCTTTTTTTCCCCCCCTCTAAACCAGAAGCGGCACCTAATTGGTTTGTTGCAGAAATTGCTCATAAATCCCTCGTATGTCAAACAAGCTTTGAACACTCGTCACCACCGAGGCAATTTGTTTCTCATCCGCTCATCAGAGGGCTTTTGTTGTGCTCAAGGACTTTAAAACACGCCGGGGTCAAAGAAGCTTGATGCAAGAAGATTTGCAGAATGGTTTGGCGACCAGACTGAAAGGAGCTGGATACAGGACGTAGAAAGTGAAATAAAAAGCCACCTGGGTGTGCTTTATTTTGGAACAGCTGTCAGACAGGGATAGAGGTGGAGTTCAATTGGAGTGAGATTTTCTTTTTTCCCGGGCGGTGCTTCCAGAAGATTAGGGAGGAGGAAGCATTGTGGCAATTGTCCTTTAAGTAGAGCAGAGATTCACACCTCTGCCTACAGAACAACCATCCACACAATAATATAACATGATGGTTCCTCAAAATGTCAGATTAAAAAACGGTGAAGCATTATTTAACGTAATGGTGTAAACACGTGGGCGGTTTCTTTTTCTTTGGCGAGAAGCTTTGTTCTTGACTCTCGTCCAAGTGAAACATAATAAATCTCCAAATTCTGCAGTGATTGATTCTTCGTGCCTCGTGTGTGTGTTTGCATGCGCTGCTTATTATTGCATTAGAGGCATTAATGCTGCTTTGTCTTGGGAATAGAGGAAGAGGATTTACGAGTCTGAACAAAAGCCAGAAGTTTTGTGTTTCAGTTGGAGTTGGATCATGCAGCACAGTTACTGCAAATCCAGTTTGGTTAGAAAAGACAGTTTTCAGGAGTGCATTGTGCCAAACAGCCAGTGGGAAGTGTTAACGGTGAAATGACAGCGAGTAAAGTTTCTGTCTGACTCAGGTGGCAGTTTTGTGACGGGGATGTGAAGCTGTCTGGACAGTCTGACTGTCAACTAATCCTGAGATAGAGGAGCTCAGTGCGGAGCAGCATGTGTAGTGTGAACCGTAAGAGGAGGAGACAGAGAACAGGTTTGGATGAACATGTACAATCATACTCTGTCTTTAAACTGGACTAAGAGCGGCCATGATAGTTTCTCTATGAGGTTTTGGACAAATTGATAACACGGTGACCACATGATCGCTGAGGACAATAGACCAGTGCTTTTACATCCTCTACTTTTTGAAGGAAATATCATCTACTCTTCTCTTGTCCGCAGCCAGAATATCTGGATACAACGATGGGAGACATCATCTTGATCACCCCCTGGTGGCTGGCTGTAGTATCATCATAAACATCAAACTTATTTGAAATGTGGGAGGCTCAGATTCAGTCATTGAAACCCCGACAGGATCATATGACCAGAGATTCTCTTCAGATCAGGCTCGACGAGATCAACACCCCACATCGGACCAGTAGTTCTCTCGTGCCCAGCAGACATAAGTAGATGGCTTATGGGCAAAATTCAAATTATATACATTTTCTCAATGAGGGTTTGAGTTTTTTTCTTATCACTGTTCATGTTTTTAGTAGTTTGTCGGGAATGACAACTCCGACTGACTCACTGTGATTGTTGGGGTGTTTATCAGTGGACCCTCGATACGGCATGTTCACCGCTGACTTTTCAAATCACATCAAAAACACACAATGACATCATTGGTATTCAGGGTGCTGTGGCTCTATTTGTGAACAGTGATGGACTCAAAATCAGTCATCTTTAAAATAATCAGGATTCATCCTCTGCGGACCATGAATGTCTATATATGAAAACTCCACGAGATATCGAGATATATAATCTGACACATGATCTCTATCAGCTTTTTTTTTTTTTTTTCTTTCTTATTTTCTACAAATCTCCTCCAGTTCATCTTGGATGTTTCTACCCGCCCGTTTCCCCGGAGGCTCCACGATAGCATCTGTGTGGTGATGACATTGTTTGGTCTTCTCCTCATGTGTGACCCCTCCGAGTCGTCTCTACCTCCTCTTCTCCTTCTTTAGCTCCACGTCTTACAGCTCTGTTTGATGGATTTCCAGAAATATCTCACTCAGGACTCTCAGCAGTGCAGTGCAACAGCTTCAAATGAAATCCAACAGCCGAGAAGGTGCGGAAGACACCGAAACCGACAATATGTGAATTTATTTTAGTGTTTCCTGAGTTATATCATGTCTTTGGTGCTGAGACACAGACCCACACATTCCCAAGGAAAATTCTAAATACAAATATACAGTTCTGTTTTTAAGTAATTTCTTGAAACATATTTAGAAGTAGTTTATTACTCATTTGTTGATCTAATGAGAATCTGAGAACGGTAAAGGTGGCATTGACCCAAATAGCTGCAATTTATCCTAATGAAGCAAACCAGTGGAATAATGGGGCATTATAATATTCACATTGGGACTATTGGGCCTTGGTGGAGGTGTCTCGTTTACTTAATAGTTTCTGTATAAAAATCTAAGCTTTGTAGAGGAATAATACAAATATCAGGCAGCACTTGTTAGTAAGATGTTGATTTTTCTGTCGATGCTTCCTGGGTATGAGGAGAACTTATAATATTTCCAGCCTTACCTGTATGTTACAATACTTTGAGTTCACTAAAACTAAAACAACTCTTTCCAACCCTGAACATGATTTCAAAAAATAGCATCAAACAAAAGCAGTTTGTTGCATAATAAGATTCATCTTCAGGGATTTACAGTACTTTAAAGATTAAAGCAGCTTTGTGTTCAGGCAGATTGTGCCGACAAAAGTTCATAAAAGAAATCTTCAGTGTTTGTGGGTTAAGTAGTTGGTGTCTAGATTTCAGGGCTATTTGTCAAAATGCACTCAGTGGTTCTACTTCTCTGTGAACTCCACAGCACGAAGAGCAAGATCAAAAGTCAGCTCCAAAGTGGTGTAAAGACACGAGTGTGCTGTATTATCACAGTGAATATTACACTGAGAAATATCCCGGTACTATCTGACATCAGATGACGGTCAAAGCGCCCTTTGAATAATGATGTATGATTACAGAACATCCCACATCTTTTACATGTGAGAGGAGGACGCTGTAAATCAACACTAGCATCGTTATGTTGCACGTAGGCTGCTGCTAAAAAGATAGTTGAAATGTAAACGCAAAATGTGAATTTATTATTGTTGGTTAAAAGTAAATGAGCTGCAGTGTCTGACCTAAACATTCAAAACTTTTGAACATGATTATTATTAAGTTTTTAAAGCAAAGAAGTTGATTAATGTTGGCTTAGGACTTTTTCCTTGCAGCCTGAATATGTATTCACCCTAAAATAGAGTTGAAATGTTTGTGTTTACATCAGTTTATGCTCATAATCCCCACAATGTAACTCAAGTGCTCAAGATTTGGACAAAATAAGAGGAACAGTCCGCAGGCTCAGATATTCACACGGGAACAAATCAATACTTCTTTAAGTTTCAGCTGCAGAAAGTCAACTGTAGTGTAAGTCGTTGTTGTTGTCGTTGTGCCTGTTTTGTTAGTGATATGTGATAATAACCATGCAGCTCAACACAAGCACAGAGAAAAAACCCATATACACACTGTGGTCTAATCAATATCAATATTCATCAGCCTCATCCCATTGAAAAAGTTTTGCCTGTATGTAGATTTTTAGTAA